AGGGTATGCTAAATACCCCAGTCATTGCTTTCTCTGCCTGGAATTGAAATAAGTGTTTGTCCTAATTCATATGCTATCTGATGTGAAGTGGGCCTGCTTTGTACTGCACTACACCATTAATCTAATTATAGATAGCTGCAAATGAAGTGCTGTCGGAGCTGGGAGATTGAAGAAAATAGCCTTTTGTCATTTAGCATGACTCTGTGAAGCAAGATCACACTTTACGGGGCAATGCTGCAAAATGGAAATCTCAATAATATTGCTGCCTGTTGCATCTTTTCTAATTACTGCAGCATTGTAAACACAACTGGGCGCTGATATAAATAGAGCTGTAGATATGCTGTCATGTGGGTTGTAGGAGAAAGTCCTCCGAGTGCTGTTGGATTAAATGATGCATCCTGATTGACAGCTACCTTGAGACTGTGCTGATGGAGTTGTCACAGCTAACAGGCTGCTCTGTGTGCAGCTGCATGGGCCCCTTTACTATCTGCTCTTGTACCTTCTTTGCGTGCTTGAAGGCAGCTATGGGCTTTTAGTTCAGTGTGTCTATAGTATTGCTTCTTGGAGATTTTTGAAGTGTTTATTTAATGAAATTAGCTATATGGTTTGTGTTCAAGTAGAGGGATAAGTGTGGCTTTGAACCTCGATACGGTTTTCCTCAGGGGTTGACTGTATCCCACAAAGAACCTTTGAGAAGCAATGTTGACAGTTATCATTAAAATTCCAGCCAAGTGTTTTAATTTATATCTAATGTATATTTAATTTCTCTGCCTTTCCCATACACAGATTTTGAACTGATGAATCATTTTGTAGCTCATCACTTCTACTTTAAAAGCATGATCATTTTCCTCCAACTCTAACTTTTAGGGGAATACTTGAGCATTAGCCGTCATGCCCTGGGGAGGATGACTTACAGGACCTTGGAGACCTCTGGGACCAGAAAGTGTGAGACCTTGGCTAGGAAGAGAGCCTCTGAAGAAAGGTGTCTACCACCATCCCTAGGGAAAAGGAGTTGTGGTATAGGGATACAGATTTTGGCCAGTGCTTTGGTATCTTAGGAAAAGTAATATGTGAAATAATTTATGATAGAGCTTCATCATTGTCTCTTAACTAGGGTGTTAACTGAAATGATCAACAGTTGACATGAGCAAATACATCAGCAATTGATCAGCTATATTCTGATTGTCACTGGAAGAATGACTGGAGAGACTAGAGCTGAGCCCACCTTATGGGCAACAAAACAAGAGACTTGAGTCAGAACTGAAAGAATAGCTAAAGCAAACTGAGTTTACCCTGTAAGCACTTACCAGACCCAGGACTCCAGCCGAGCATGCAGGATCTGTAACATCATAGGTCCATTAGAGGCCTTGGAAAGGAAGACACCGGTTAAAATCCACACGAAGGTGCATGTGCTAGATAGATTGATAAAACGCCCATCAGGATGCCTGGCCGAGTGACCATCCCACTGGAGACAATGTCATAGGAACAGTTTTCAGTGGTGGGTTCTGGACAGGCTATAGCATGGGTGGACATGCTGGATGCTCCAGTTAACCAAGTCCAGTACAAAAGCATCCTTCTTTCCCAATCTATGCCAGCTTCTTTCCCCCCCTACCACCATCTGCATCCATTCCCACGTGGGAGCTCTATGTTAGTAATGTGTGTATATCTGTGTGTGTGCTGGTCCTGGCGCTTGACTTCGGGGCAGGCACTATCCCTTAGGTATTTCACTCAAGGTTGATGCTCTACCCACTTGAGCCACAGCTTCACATCCAGCCTTTTGGTAGTTAATTGGAGATAAAGGTCCACAGACTTTCTTGTCCAGGCTGGCTTTGAACTGTGATCATCAGATCTCAGTCTCCTAAGTAGCTAGGATTACAGGCATGAGCCACTGGTGCTCAGTTTATGTGTGGTAGTTTTAAAAAGCAACCCCATTGCATGCCTTTTCATTGTCCATGTGTTATGATTTTCTGCCTGAGATTTTCATGTCTGATTCCATATCTTTCTTGTAAACTTTTGGGAGAAATTTTCTTGTTAGATATGGTTTCATTTTTAATATAAATTAATTTGCTTGCAGAGCCAGGCTGGGGGTCATTTTACATAATTGGGTCATTAGATACCACCTCATTCACTCCCATTATTGTCATATGCTGATTGCCTGTCCAGACCAAGCCCAGAGAGCCACCTGTTCTCTGTTATAATTTACCCAGCGTGGTGGCTGGTAGACCAGTCCTCTGAAGCCAGCAGAATGAAAGTCCATCTACTGACGAGCCCGGATCTGACGCCGTCCAGCTCTGTGGCAGCTTGTGGACACTTTCCCTGACACGAGCAGGTTGAAAACTGCCATGTTCTTGGGATGGGCTTCTCCGTCCTGTCAGCTAGCCTTCCAAAACCTGGCTTTACACCCTGAAAACAGCAATGGAGCAGTTTATCTGCTTGAAAACAGCAAAAGTTTAAAATCTGAACTTAAGGGAAGAGAGGGAAGAATAAATACCCCAAAACCCATGGGGAATACTACCAGACTTGAATCTTTGAGTCCCTTCAGGGGCACTGTTCTTACACTGTGGCACCAAAGAATCCAGAGACCATTTGGATCATAAGCCAGTGTATGTGGCTCAGTGTGTGTTCTTTGATGACTTATTTTCTAGGCCATCAAAAACTTCTGCTCCTCACCAGGTCAGTTCACTCGAATGGGCCCGTATGCTGTGCCCTGCTCAAGTCCCATTTGGGCACACTCTGTGCAAATAGAACTGCCTGTTTACGACAGGAGGCTGTTTTAAGAGGGCATTTGTGTGGGGATGTGGACAGGAAAGGGTCAGGCCAACATCAAAGGTAATCTTAAGAAAAGAACCTTCTCTCTGCCTCCTTTTTTTATATTCAGAAAGGTCACTTTAAAGTCAACTATGAGCAACTGGGCCTCTCCTGAGGCGTTGACTTCGTTGTTATTTTTTACTTGTGATTACAATAAGTCATTTATCCCCAAACAGATTTAAGAACAATAAACAAATACAAAAGGAAAAGGAACATCTCATCAATAACAAAGACCGCATCTAAAGGCCTTGAGTTTTGTTCCTCTTTTACATCTCTTTCCAAGTAAAGCAGGAACCCTACAGAGAAAGGAATCCAGAAGATATGAAAGTTACAAAAATAGAAAAAAAGATTCCGTCTTAGTCAGGATCTGGTCACTTCTTGGGAGAAATGGTGCTGAGCACTTAATTCTTATGAGGGCTTATTTGTGAGAAGCTAAAAATGAGTCCTTGTGTACCTTGTGTGGTAAATGGTTCATATTCATATTATCCTGAAAGTATAAAGAAACTTTTCTCGATGAATTCAAAGTTCATATTTTGAAGTTGAATTATTTAAAAAAAAAAAAAACAAGGGAAAGAAATAGACCTGTGTGCTACATTGAAAAACTAGGTGCAGCCCCTACCAGTTGCAGCCCAGCTGGTGATGCCAGTCACAAGCGTAACTTTTTAGTTGACTCCAGTGATCCTAGATTTCTTTCCAAGACAGAGGGAGCTCAGATACTAAAAATGTACAATTTGGCCCAATTATATGCTCCCCTCTTCCTCTACCTCCCCCATAGGCTTAATGAAGGACTTGGCGGTACAATTCATCAGCGATAAATAGTCGCTCTGCCCAGAATGTTTATTAGACTGACAGCAGCGTGCACTCTCCTTGCTTTTTTCCCTTGCCACTTATGACTCAGATGAATTTTAATAGGAGCAAAAAGCTTTTATTTGCACTGTAATTTCACTTAAGGATCATATCCTTCAGAAACTGGCAGATGCCTGTTAAGTCTTGATTGCAAAACACACACTCCAGAGTAAAGAAACACGCAGAAGATGTTATTATTCAACCTGTCACAGTGTTGCAAATCTACTTGGAACCTAGGCTATCAAAGCTCTTTGCTGGAGCCCTTCCCCCACCCCTTTTAAATAGGTCCAGCAAAGAGACCACTTGGAGATTTCCTCTGTCCCTGTGTGGGAATCAAAGGGTGAGTTCAGCTCTTGCCTTTGCCTTCCTGCCACCGTGATGCCAACAGGAGGCTGTGAGTAGCAGCCCTCCCTCCATACAGTGGAGCTGCTCCCGGGCTGCTTCCGTCTCACCCAGACACTCACCAGAGTCTTCTGGTAGTGGCTCCAGCAAACCATGTTACCCATTTCTGCTTGTATAGACCAAATCATGACTCAGAGATCTGGGATTTTTTCCATTCAGTAAGAATTTTTATTAGAAACATGTTGTTCAATTAGAATAGCTTAAAGTTGTCCCCAGTTGTTTGAGAGAGCCATGTGCCGAAGATGCCATGAAAACGCATGGTTGTGCATATTGTTTTCTCTCTGTGTTTTTAAAATCTTGTGATGCTCTCTCCATCTATAAGATATTCTCATTGCATCTCTCTACATCCTAATCATCTTATTATATCAAAAAGACTATGCTTAAAAACAAAAGCTAACTTTTTGGTTTATAAATTTAACATTATCTGCTACCAAAAAAAATTTTTTTTTGAATTTTAAAGATTGTTTTGCCTAAAATGAACACTGAAACCCTTTGTCTTAACTTGCTGATCCAGCCAGTGCCACAGACCTGCTGGGGCATAGGTTTGAGACAGCAGTCTGCTGCCATCTACTGGTGTGTCTTCGCAGTGTCATTCCATCCGGTGCTGGGGACTCGAGCTGCTCCAGAAAAGTTTGCGTGCAGTAAAGGGAATACGAGTAAAATTCTCACTGTTTACTTCATAAAGTCTCGGATGTTTTTCTTCAAGATTTAAGTGATTGTTATCTGTTAGTAATTAACAACTATAGTGCTTATTTCAAAAAATATTTTTTAAAATAACTGGCCTGTATCGGTCAGAAATCAATTTTGAATAGGATTTGAATATAATTGAAAGGACAATTTGAAGTAAAAAAAAAAAGCTGAAAATTCATGTTGTATGACCATTACTTTTAGAGGACAGTTCTTCATTTAAACTTCGTTATGCTTTTGTTTTGTTTTCCTTCAAGTACAAGGTGCACGTCTTTACCAAACTTGCGGCAGAATTGAACAAATTTATGCCAGAAAAAGTGGCTGAGGACACAAGCAGCACTCTGCGCTCCCCGATGCCCGGCGTGGTGGTGGCCGTCTCTGTCAAACCTGGAGACATGGTAAGGGCTGTGTCTACCTCTGTGGGGACGTGTAACACTCAGACTTGCATAGCAGAGCGGCGCATGTGACACCCTCCGCAGCTCTTGCTTGACTCTCACGGTGCTCACAGAACAACAGCTCAGTAGATTTTGTGCACTCTTTGTCTATCGTTTCATGTTTAAACTGTGTTAGTAACAGTCTTCCCGGTGTGTCCCCTGGAGGATCTGGGAGAGGAAGAAAAATGAGGGCATTTCTTAAATGCATGGTTTCAGGGAAGTATTTTACCTAAAAATGGCCGTTCAGTCCCCAGGACTCTGTACTGACGCTGTCCTAAAAAAAAACCTTACCCTAACTGCTAATCCTCTGGTGGGGAATTTCTGTGTGATTTCTGGACAAGATGTCTAATTGGGAATGCGAGTTCAGGAAAGGTTAATCCTGTAATCTGTACAGTGCTAGCATACTTCCGGAACATGGGAAGTAGAATTTAGGATCACAGTTTTAAGGTTTTCATCTTGACCTTGTGAAAGCAAAAGCAAAGCCACATTAATGTTTACCCATGTGTTCAGTCTCAAGATAACTAAGCTATGGATGAACTGGCATGTGTTGCTTTTTTGTTTTTTGGGTTTGTTTTTAGAGCACATTGATGAGTACCAAAAGTAAAAAGAATACCGGATGCAGCCACAAGATCTCAGAAGGTTTAAGTGCTTGCATTTTTATTTCTGTACAGGAGGACAGCAGCTAAACATGATGGGCTTTCATGAGTCACAAGTGATTCTCTTTTGTATCTGAGTGAAATCACTGGGCTTACGTACTTTCTTACAAAGATTGTGTTCAAATGCTTCCTGATTTCTTTATCCTTATAGATAAAACATTCTGTTAACACTGAAATAAACTAACATAGCTGGCAGTGGCTTCTAGAAAAGTATTTCATATAAGAATACCGAGTATAAGTGATCAGGTTCAGTTATTTTAAATGATTAATCAGGAAAGTGATTTAGGAAGCTGGGAAACTAACTTCCCATTTTTCCCCTGACCATATGAAAGGAGGACTGCCGGCTTGCCAGACAAGCTAAGAGGCCGGGTTAGATGACTTTCTCCATTTACTTTGAAAGCATGGAAATTCTTGGGAAAAACAGCATTCATGGAGACCACAGACACCAGATGAGAGGCTGTGGGAGAGATGATCTGTGAAGTTTCTGTGTGTGTGCTGAGTTTAAGGGAGGTATTTGCCTTGTGAATCTTCATTCTGCAGGATTGGGGCAGTAAGAGAACGCTCCTTGACCTTGACGCTAACAGTCGCATGTGTAATGCATCAGAGAAGCTGTGGAATCTCTAGCGACTCCATGTCTCAGGGATAGGTTGGAAAGCAATATGAAGGATTTGGGGTATTTTTTGTAGTTTTTTTTTTTTTTTGTAGAATACTTCTGTAGGTATTCTATTTTTCTTTTTTGTTTTCGTTTTCATTCTTAAGGTTTCTCTGGAAGGCACACAGTGTACTGCCAGCCGGTGCCTGTCAGTCCTAGTGGCTTTAATTAAAGTGTGTGTGTGTGTGTGTGTGTGTAAGTAATAAGTATTCAGCTTAAATCCTTACTTTGCTAACACCCGAGTCCAAGATTAATGGTTAGTAGTAGGAAGGTAGTGAAGGAAGGAGTAAGCTCCTGCCTCCAGCAAGGAAGAATTGAGGTTACAGTCATTCACACACACACACACACACACACACACACACACACACACTTTGCTCAGCAGATGGACATGTATGAAGAGTTTGAAGACCAGGCTACTAACCACACTGTCCCTGGCTTCACTCTTCCATACACTAAAAGGAAGGGTTCATCTTCATCATTTGCACTTTCTGCTCAGTAAGTTAAGGTGGGCCTGCCAGGCATTGGTAAAAGGAGAAGGGCGAGTTTAGTGCCTGCAACAGAGGGGTAGCTACTATCAATCGTTAAACACTCAAGATGGTTTAATTGGAGAAATCACTATTGAATCTTGTCAGTGTAGAGCAGCAGGGCTGGGTGTTACATCAGAGCTCTGAGGGCCATGCATTGAGGGGGCTTGTCACCTGGTACCCCTCACCTTCATTCCACATGCCCTTTGCCCAAGAGTGCCTGGTGCCTGAGGTGGAATACTTGTGTCCTTTAATTTCTCACTTTGGGTCCTCACAGTACATCCTTTCATATTCCATGCCATGTGGCATGGTAAAACAGTGAGAAGTTCCATTTGGTGGGTCTTACAACAACATCTCTTATAAATTCTGTCTCATGTAATTAAAATACTAGAAATTTCACTTGGATCAAAGGCACGGCCCTTTTTATAAGGCCAATATAAGAAAATACTACTTGCAACACTTCAAATTTTACAGTTTAAATCATTTGAACATTGCAGGGCAGGTTGTGTTTTTCTTAGTAATAACAGTAGCTGAGTGAGGTTTCACTGTTACCAGTAGAAAGATAATGGAACCAATCATCTCTGTCCTTTCGAGGAAAACAAGGATCCACACACCACCAAGGGTTTGCAAGTATTCTATTCATCTTGCAAGTATCTATTCTTCTTTCAAATATTCTATTCTTCTTTATGTATAATTTTGTTTTAGAAATCTGTCATTTCTATGCTTTAAGAAAAATTTGATGAATAAGATGGTATATCTCTTAATAAGTTCTACCAAAATGTCACATAAATCATCCATAGCAAACAGTTTAAACACTGTGAAAACCTGATAGAGAAAGAAGAGCGTTTGTGCTGTGTGGAAGGGGTCTGTGACCGCAGAGGGCTTGGGGGGGGGGAGGAGAGGGGCAGAGAGCTAATACTAGTTGCTGGGGACACTTCCCTGCCCTGTACAAAAGCTTCTTGTTTCAAATACTCTTAGCAGAAGTTTCTCGTGCCTTTCTGTCTTTGTAATGAACTATTTAATATTAGATGTAGCAGCAACATGATTGTATAATAATTTTGAATGTATACAGAAGGAATATTAGTATTTAGTAAAATGCAGGCAGACTGTGAGTAGAGTAAAAAATCATGAATGAGCCAGCTCCTGTGGCTCACACCTGTCTGTAATCTTAGCTATTCAGGAGGCTGGGATCTGAGGGTTGCAGGTCAAAGCCACCTTGGGCAGGAAAGTCCCTGAAACCCTTATCTCCAATTAAGTATGAGCAAAAAAGTTCATGGACAGCGCCCAGGTCCTGAGTTCAAGCCCCAGGACCCACACACAGACACATACCCATGCACGTGCGCATGTGTGTGCGTAGGCACACGCACGCGTGCGCGCGCGCACACACACACACACTCACACACAAAGTTCACAAATTTAATTCACAAACTACAAATTGATAAATCCATTTCTTCCTCTTTTTTTATGTCTTCTGAAAATGTTTTTTCAGTGAAAGTTGAATTTAAAAAATAACTTTTTCCATACATGTAATACTACCATAAACTGAGAACACTTCTGTAAATAAATTTAATATTTGTATAGCTGTTTTAATTTTTAAACCTGTCTTTATGATATTCTTGAACAAAAAATAGTATTTAAAATTTTTAAAGTACCTTTCAGAATAATGGTGTAATACATTCTTGTCATGTGTTAACCTTAGACTTATAATCTCTACTTCCAATGCATGGTTTTCATTTTGAATTTAAAATATAAAATAAATAAAACTATTTTTGAGTGCATTTGTTACTTTTCTTGTGTGCTAGTGCTAGGACCTGAACTCAAGCGCTGGGCGCTGTCCTTGAGCTTTCTTGTTCAAGGCTAGTGCTATACCACTTGAGCCACAGCTCCACTTCTGGCTTTTTTTTTCCCCCCAGTTAATTGGAGATAAGAGTCTCAGGACTTTCTTGCCCAGACTGGCTTTAAATCATGATCCTGAGATCTCAGCCTCGTGAGTAGCTAGGATTACAGGCGTGAGCCACCCTTGGCCAGTTTTGTTAGCTTTTGATAACAGAAAACAACAACAGAACAAACCAATAAAATAGAGCCACACTAAGTAGATATTCAACAGTACATTTATTTATGATTCTTTCAACTTATAAGTTCTATAATCACCTTAGATTTTTCATAAAAAACTTTCATATAATATATCAGAAAATAAAGCAAGACAACCTATAAGAAGGCTCTATATCCAATTTCTTTTTGATGGGCAATTTATGACATTAAGTAAAATAACAGGGAGGCAGTAAGGACCTGTTGCTGCTGTTTCTCGCTACTCATCTGGCTTTCATGAGTAAGACAGCCTTATGTTTATGTTTATGGGGCCAAGATGCAGATCTGCTTGGTGTTGAGACTGGCCTTTTAGAGAGGGCAATTAGCCATGTTAGCCTGTTGCTCTCTTGAACAATGCCCTTTGTGGGAAAATGGTATCCATACAGCATACCAATAAATGTAATGTTTGTAGTCTATCCCTATTGCCTGGATAGAAATAATGCTAACACCCAGGTTTCATCCTTTTTTCCCCCTGGTTGCATCTGCTCCCTTGGGGAAAGCCTCTGGCACATGAGTGAATGGACTGTGAGAATTGCACATCCCTGGTACATCCTTGTACACACACCCTCACACACCCACACCCACACACACACACACCCCCTTCCACTCCAGAGATTAGATACTTGACATTACAGCAGAGCTTAAGGGAATGGCAAATAAACTTGGTGAGAGTCCTTGGTTTATTTATTTTTTCATTCTGGGAAGGATAGCTTTGACAACGCCTTAGCTCTCGGGTGTCTACAGAGAAGGGTGGACTGGCCTCGTACTTCTCTGATGCGGCACCTAGGTGCCTTCTTCAGCCTGCTGTGCCTAACTGGTAGAGATGCTGCTTGCCGGTGGGGTGGTTGTTCCACTTTCCGGGTACTTTGATTACAGTCATCAAGGGATGGCGGTAAGTAAATTTTCATGTTGTGCAGTAGTGGTTATTGCACAGGATGCCAGTTTTGTTCTCATGTTGTGCAGTAGTGGTTATTGCACAGGATGCCAGTTTTGTTCTCAGTTTCCACATTGTATTCCCTAATATATAGACAGAGGTTCACATAT